GAAAGAAAGAAAGAAAGAAAGAAAGAAAGAAAGAAAGAAAGAAAGAAAGAAATTTGGCCAGATGTTTTAAGCCATGAAGTTGTGCTCTGTCCCTAAAACTCCATCCCTAGATGGAGAGTACAGTCATGATGAGCCATTAATAGATAGGCATGTACAAAAGTACACTGAATTATGCCTGTTGGGATGGAGAAGAGATGGTGCTTATGTCAAAAAACTCAAGGCTGGCACCAGCTCAGAGTTTCTGCTTAGGCAAAACCCATAGGTTTCTGAGGCAGCATTTAACAATGCAGTCTTTAATGAAACCACGCTGCAGATTAAATAGTACTAGATTAAAGAGTTTATTGAAGCTACATTATCTAGTGGCTGGAGAGAGTAGTGCCCCCTTAGGTGATTTAAAAAAAATCTTTCTCAAGTGTGAGAGTAGGCAAACTCAGCAGGGCTGAGGGCCATTTTTCAGATTTGCTACACAAGGGCCTCAAACCCTAGAGAGTGTTATCTAGAAGTTGAGTTATGGCAACTGGCCTTTTTTCTTGTTACGTTGAAACGTTTTGCTACTCATCCAAGTAGCTTCTTCAGTCTGAGGACAGTTGGCAGGAGACCCCTGACCCCTCTACATTGGTTTCACTTCTCCCTGGTCTGAACAGGCTTGTTAAATGGACAGTTACCATGACTCAAATTTCCAGATACAGTAACCTCAACTGAATGACTGAGAATCTTCACAGATATACCCCAGAGAGCGGCATTAAAGGGACTAATTTGCATAATTAATTCTTTCTTTTATTAATGCAGGTTGTTACAATGGGCTTTTGTTAACTAAAAAACAGACTTGCTTTTGCATTGAAATTGGATCATGTGCACCTACCCTGTTTCCCCGAAAATAAGACAGGGTCTTATATTAATTTTTGCTCCAAAAACGCATTAGAGCTTATTTTCAGGGAATGCTTTTTTTTCATGTACAATATTTATTCAAATACAGTCATGTCATCTTCTGGTTGCTGCACAGTGGTGGAGGGCGGGCTTTCACTTAACTAGGGCTTATTTTTGGGGTATGGCTTATATTACGAGCATCCTGAAAAATCATACTAGATCTTATTTTCAGGGAAATAGAGTAGCACAGCTTTGTTTGCATGTTTGATGTCTCAGGTACATACCCCTGAAAGTTACAACACTATGCCTCAAGGGATAGTGTTGTAACTTAAATCTCTGAATTTATTAATTCTCCAGCCTCTTTGTTTAGCTCTTGTTTGGCAACACTATATATCAATAGGCTGCAGTTAAAGAGTTGATCTATTATATTTGCAACCTTGATGCAGAATATGCTGACACCAGATTGTTCACAAACATTTCATATGCTGCTATAGCTACCATCTCCTAGACATGGCCCAGCTTCCCTTTCGATTTGTGAGACCCAGAATTAAACATCAAAACTTACATCTTATCAGCTTTATGTAGAGTAAAACTATCATTTTATTAATGTTGCAGACATTTTTAGCATGTAGGAATTTTTAGCAAGTATACATTACTGAAACAGCGACATCTACGTTGGCTTGGAGAATGGCTGATGGTTGGATTCCAAAAGATCTCCTGTATGGAGAATTAGCGCAGGGAAAGCGCCCCAGAGGGAGACCACAGCTGCGATACAAGGATATCTGCAAGCCAGATCTGAAGACCTTAGGAACGGACCTCAACAGATGGGAAACCTTGACATCTGAGCATTTAGCCTGGAGGCAGATGGCGCATCATGGCCTCTCCCATTTTGAAGAGATACTTGTTCAGCAGGCCGAGGCAAAGAGGCAGTCCTGAAATCAGCAAAACCAGGGAGGTGGACATGGGAGAGATTGTATTTGTCTTCAGTGTGGAAGGGATTCTCACTCTCGAATTGGCCTCCTCAGCCACACTAGACATTGTTCCAAGACCTCTATTCACAACACATTGCCATAGTTGCTTGAGACTGAAGGATGCCTACAAGTTGCAGACAATGCTTCCATCTGATGTCATAACAAACAGCAGAATGGGGAAAGATGATGGGTCCAGGTTAGAATACACATTTGGTTTGCAGAAGTTCGGCTCCTGGTATCTCTAGTTAAAAGGTTCAAATTTGATAAGACTTTTGCTCAAGACTCTGAAGAGCTGCTATGACAGTAGTAGAAGACACTAGCTTCGATGGATAAATTGTGTCCCCTGCCTTGCCCTGACTTGAGATATCTTCTGCTCTACTGGTACCATGATACTTTCTCCTGGACCTACATTAACATCAAGTTTACCATGTACACACAGCTTTCTGCCCAAATAAGTAGTTTCTTATAAAGCTGCTGTAAAGCGCTTAATACTAAACTTATGCCTAGAAGTTGGAATAATTAAGGTCTACTCCATAGTTGTGCAAGAAGCTTGATATACTGTAGTTCAGTAAAAGGGGCATTGTGGAAAATATAAATACCAATGTTTTGCCAAGCATCATCCAGGCAGATGCTCTTTTTCACAATTCAAGAAAAGGTGGCACATCATTTTTTTTTCAGGTCATGGCTAACTTTAGAGAATACAGGGTCCAGTAAGGAAAAAAAAATCTTCCCCTAAATATTTATGAAAAATGATCTGGTGTTAAGAAACAGGGATTTTAAATGTAACTGGATAGTCTTAACTCCCAAGTTTGATTAATGGAGAGCTGCCTTTTGATGATCCCATGCAGTTAGCCCGAAGGATATTCTGTCAGCTTAGTCAAGCCACCAGCACACCCTTCTTGAGAGGAACAACACTGATGATGCAGAAACAATTTAAGGATAATTTGTTTACAGCAGTGGCAACTCCCAAGTGGGAAAGAGCCACATCTTGGACCCTGGCACTGCACATGGTTGCTGTAACAATTCCAGATTCTTGTTGACTCGGGTTGCAATTGCAAGTCTCTTTGCTTTGAGTGGCCACACAGGCAGAGGAGGCAAAGTCTTCTATTTGCAGTTTTATTGCAGTTCTATTGAAGCACCTG